GTGAAATATGATACATTTATATAAAGCTTAAAAACAGAAGATACATATTGTTAGTGATACTGCATATCTGTAGAAAATGTTTTAAGATATGCATGAAAATGATCAAACAGAAATCTGAGAAGGCTAGGAATAGAATTAGGGAGCAGTTCACAGAGAGCATTAATTACGGGTAAATGTTATTTTTTGAAAGAAAAAATGGGAAGTAATATGATAAAATAATAAAAATCAGCAAAGCTGGGTAGTGGTATTTGTTATGCTATTTTCTGGATAAGATGTTTAAAATATTTGGGGCCAGGCACGGTGGCTCACGCCTGTAATCCCAGAACTTTGGGAGGCCTAGGCAGGTGGATCATGAGGTCAAGAGATCGAGACCATCTTGATCAACATTGTGAAACCCTGTCTCTACTAAAAACACAAAAAAATTAGCTGGGCATGTGGCGCGTGCCTGTAATCCCAGCTACTCAGGAGGCTGAGGTAGGAGAATTGCCTGAACCCAGGAGGCGGAGGTTGCGGTGAGCCGGGATCGCGCCATTGCACTCCAGCCTGGGTAACAAGAGCGAAACTCCATCTCAAAAAAAAAATTAATAATTTCAAAAATAAAGATCAGTTACTTATTACAAGACTTCTTATCAATGGTAATGCTTGTAGCATTAGTACAATAATTCTGGCAGGACTATTATTTACTACCATTATTATAATTAATACCAATCCATCAACTACTATTTTAACTGATACCAATATTTACTGCTGGAGGATACATCCTGTTAAAGAAGCTTGTGAATCTTTTGGTAAATGCAGTAATCCTTTTATAAAAAGTATAATAATCTCCAACAGCACATCTATTCTGTAAGTTGGAATTTTTGTGGATTGAATACTTTATTCAATCCTCAAAATTTATTTATTTGCTTATTTACTGCCTGATTAAACCAGTCTTTGAAAACAAAGGCCAATAAAATAAACTATATTAATTGACAACATTTTTCTGAAAATATTTATCTTTCATGGCCAGTTTTTGGTTACCAGTCTTGTGAGCAGGCAAGAAAGATGGAAATCTAAAAATAAAAACCAACAGAAGCAAAGTATTTCCCCTTTACAACAACAAATAAACTTTCAAAGCAGTAAGGTCATAGAAAAAGACTTGTTTCAATGATGCTATTTTATATTTACACATTTAACAAACAATGTAATATAAAAACTAATATTCTAACATATTTTAAAAGAATAAATATTTCTTATATTCAGAATATAATTTATATAACACAACTTGAAATGCTAGCAATAGAATGCTGGGGGAAAAAAAAGTCAACCAACCCTGAGAAGGATGTACTGAGGATTTACCTTCTTCCTCATCCACTGATGCACAGGGGTTCTTCTCTGCTGCTTTTTCTGAAAGGCCAGCTGTATTATCCACTCCTGATTCTGCTTTCTCTCCTTTAGCCATTAGACAAACTGGAAATCCAGGGGAAAGTCAAGTATTGCTTTCATCATTTTTTTGACCATCAAAATGCAAAGGGAGCTTGATGACCTATTAAGAGATCAATCTGTTACCTAAATTGTTGAAACTGTTACATAGTTAGTTTTCATCTAAAACAATGAGAATTTGAAAGAGCTTAAAGGTCAGTAATAAATTTAGTTTTCCAAACCTTATATGCTTCTTTTTGGTTACATTACAAAGAATGCAAAATTTTTTGTATTAACAAATTTACACAATTGTTTCAGATAGTGCCATTTGCTTTGTATGTATTAGTTTCTCATTTATTTCAATTTATAATTTTCAAAATTTCTTCTTCCAAATAACATTATCTAACACTCATGCTGGAAGGAACTCAGCAACTATTCATTCACTGTTTAATATCTCCAAGAAATAATATTTTAAGTTCAGCAAGAAATGACAAGATTATAGAATCTAGCAGTGAATGAGTGCTCATTATACAATTTTTTCAACTTTTCTCTATGTTTAAAATTTTAGTAGCAAAATTACTTGGAGAAAATAATGACAAGAAATGAAATATTCAGAAAAGTGAGGAATTGACAGACAAAAGTTTCCTGGGAAAGAGTGACAGGCTATTTTTCTGACATAATTTTCCCTGTTGCATCCTTACACACATGCTGTGGGGGACTCAGAGCTGTAGGCCAGCCTCCTCTGGGATGCTCAGGGCTATTAGTCCAAGTACTATCCCTAAGGACACCCTGAGAGAACACGTGAGGTCATGGCTAAGCCCCGTGCCCTGGCTCAGCCAGCTCCTCTTTGAAAGTGGCAGTTCCTTCACACTGACTGAGCCAGGAGAGACGTGTTCAGGATTCACCTGGACTGACTTGCTTCCTTTTTCTCTTCTAACAGGGCATTGCAAAAAACACTTTTCTGTTCCATCATCTGCATTACCTCTCTTTGCTCTTCCCAATCCAACTTGTTCTTTTTTCAGTAAATCCAGCATTAACTTGTTCAGAAATGTGTGTTTGCATTTAAGAAAACTCATATTGGAAAAATCCACATATTTTACAATGTCACATAAGAGGAAAATGGGATTTCCAGAAAATGAGCTTTTTGTTTTTGTCCTCATGACAGAGAAGCATCTACACACCTACTTATTCTGCCTATAATCAGAAAATCATGCATCTTGCATGTTACTATTCTCGTTAATGAGACTTGCTTCCTCATGACATGTTCAGAGGGAGAAAATTATTTTTGTTATCTATCAAATAAGAATGTTAGTGGACAATTACATCCATCTCTAATAGATAATGCCAGCTGGGCTCTGAAGATAAATTGTAATATTTCTTTTTTTTTTCCTCTACAAAGGATTTTTTATAGAAAGTCAGAAAAAATGGGAAAAATTTTAGTAATATGTGCAAATTCAAGTAGATTTTGGTCAACTAAATTATTCTAATGCTTCTATAAACTACCCACTTTTCTTGACCTTGCAAATTTTAAATGCTACTTCTAATTTAACCTCAAATATAAACTGTTTTATGATGAATAATAGTGCTATACAAATTGTCTTTTATAAAACAAAGCTGGTTCTGACTTTCCATCCCATAATTTATAGAACACTGAATTTTTGAGTAGTTAGTGGAAAAGTTAGTTAAAGTTAGATGTCTTCCACATTAGCTAGACCAAAATTTACTTTCTTATTTTTTTTTTTTTTTTTTTTTTTTTTTTTTTTTTTGGTGAGACAAGGTTTTGATCTTGTTGCCCAAGCTGGAGTGCAATGGTGTGATCTCAGCTCACTGCAACCTCCACTTCCTGGGTTCAAGTGATTCTTCTGCCTCAGCCTCCCTAGTAGCTGGGATTACAGGCACCTGCCACCATGCCTGGCTAATTTTTGTATTTTTAGTAGAGACAGGGTTTCACTGTGTTGGCCGGGCTGATCTTGAACTCCTGACCTTAGGTGATCCATCCACCTCAGCCTCCCAAAGTGCTGGGATTACAGGTGTGAGCCACCACACCCCACCCAAAACTTACTTTCTTATGGCTATATTTATTTTGACTCTTGGTGTAGAATCAAATCACCAATTTCTAAAGTATTTTCTTAGGAATTTTCTATAGTTATCTTGAACGTTTAGATAATTTTTCAATAACCTTTTTATATTCATTTATAATAATTTTCCTTTTCAAGTTTATTTATATCAGTGTTTCTGATTCTTAGAAGTTTTTAAAAAGTTCTGATACCTAACGCCTCACCACGAAACAACTAAAACAAAGTCTCTGAGACTAGAACCCAGGTAATAGTGTTTTTAAAACTTCCCACAGAATTCTAGTGTGCAATCAGATTTATCTTAGGATGACACTTTCCAGATTGAATATACAGGTATGTATTCATATGATCGTCATTTTATTAATAGCATACCTATGCCGCCCCAAGACGATATTTCAGCCAAACTTATAATGGAATTACATAAGAAAAAAAAATGTCAGGTAATTCTACTCAAAGCAAATAAGAAACAGGAAGATCGTTATACAAGAATATATAGCTGCTGATTTTAAGGATGAAATTGCATGTGCTCCCTCGGAACACCCAGTTTAATGGTTCTATCAAGTAGGTAAGTAGATAGGTAGATAGACAGACAGACAGATGCACAGATTCATAAAGAAAACATCAAACATGAAGGTAAAGAAGAACAATTTATGGCATTATATGACACAAACAACCCGGAAAACATCAGAATCAGGAACAATAAGTTTGGGTACACAGGACACACTACAAATATGCTGAAACGCTTATTCTTTTTGCATCCCTAGAGCAGGCAATGCACAACACACAATAGAAGCTCAGTAAACACTTTTTTTTTTTGAGACAGAGTCTCGCTCTGTTGCTCAGGCTGGAGTGCAGTGACACAATCTCAGCTCACTGCAAACTCTGCCTCCTGGGTTCATGCGATTCTCCTGCCTACGCCTTTTAAATCACCGAGATTCTGGGTGTGCGCCAGCATACCTGGCTAGTTTTTGTATTTTTTTTAGTAGAGAAGGGGTTTCACCATGTTGGCCAGGTTGGTCTTGAACTCCTGGCCTCAAATGATCCACCTTGATAAGTAGACTTACCAGAGCTCCGTTCCCATATTTATGAGATGAAGCTGCACCCTCCACTCTAGCAGTGATAGATTGTGAACTGAGACTTGGGTGGCAGTTCTGGCTCATTCACAACAGAAGATTATATTAAATGATCTTTAAATTTCCCACTAATTCTATAATTTTATCTCTTGTTTCTAAATATCTATTTAATCTTCATTATCAGAAATCAGCATTAAGACATAATAACTTTTACCATTCTATGATACTTATTAATTTTCCAATGACATGAAAGGAAGCTAAAGGCTAGAAAGAAACAGCTTTAGAAAACATTTTAATTCCTTGCCACTTAAAAAATCACACCACAAACCTGAAAATAGAGATTGCACAGCCAGCTATCCAAGTCCAGACAAATCAAATCTTCAATTTTCCTGAACTTGCTAAGCTTCTGGTCATAATGTCCTCGGAAAAGGCGACACTTGAATTTTCCCTCCACTAGATCAAAGTTGTCACACAAAGGGAACACTGCCCAGCCCACAGCCCGGTCTGGGCAGGAGTATGTTCCACGAAGGAGGAAGAGATCAAACAAGAAAGCCATGCCAGGTTTCACAGTTTCCTTTTGAGGGAGCACCTGTGAAAAAGATTAAGACAAGAGAAGATTGGGACACTTCTGGTTTTAGAAACACGTTACATTCAGTGATGCCTATAGACAATTTAGAGTTAAGTAAAACATTGCTCTATACTCCTGTTGTTTGCCCTTGAAAACTCACCATCGGATGTATTTACATAAACAATTCTTTCAGCCCCAGGTAAGTCAGCAACTATGAAAACGTGACCAACCCAAATTTGACCCTGCCAGTTCAAGATTCTAAACTTCACATGCTTTAGAAATCAAGTTTGTAACATGCTAACTCACACAGTAGTCTGTGTTCATTCCTCTTAGATGGAGCTGGCACCTCTGCTGTACAACTATTCCTATCTTCCATCATAGTCATTGTTTTGAATGCCTGCCATTCATTTTTGTCTCATTCACTTACCCAGCACATCTGCATTGCACAGAACAAATGCTTTTCAAAAAGTGGTTAAACATATTACTGCAAATTATCCTACCCATAATGATAACTTGAATTATTATTGCAAAGTCCACCTCTTGAAGAAAAAATAAAATTCCATTTAATTTTGTGATTTTTTTTTCTGTTTATTTCAGTTGACACAATAATACACATGCTGTATAAGCAAGTTGCCAGTGCTAAATAAATAGCACTGAGTGTAAAGATGGGTGATATAATCAGAATGACCACGCCCTGTTCAAGTCCCCAGATGTAGAGATGGAGCCTATTCCATAGCCTTAAAAAACTTTTTTAAAGAAATGCAAGACATGAATAATCTTTTAAAAAAAATAGATTATAGCCTTGGATTTCTTTTTAAAATTTTGTGTGGATAATTATAAATAGATGAAGATCGGGACTTAGACTATTTTTAAACTTAGACAATTTTAAACCAAAAGTGTGTAGGTATATTGTATACAATTTGTGTAAATATACCAGGACTTAGTTTAGGCATAAAATGAAACAGAGGCATCTGTTGAAAAATGTCATAACTCTGTGGCAGCTGCTATTAAACCATTAACAGGATCAGGTTTGATTTAAACCAGATTTACCAGTTTTTAACAACAGCCTATGGGAAAGCTACAAACATTAGGTACAAATTACTGACATAAGAGATCTTTAATCAAGCTGTACTTTTCATTTGGCTAATTGGCTATGAGTCACTTTGTGATAAGAGAATAAAAGTTAATTGAGGAGAAGGGGAAGAAATGGAGTCAGAATCCTGTTTTGGGCCATCATTTAAAAATCAAGTTGAACTGATGCTATTGACAATAATTTCATTTATTTTTAGCCCTGAATTTAGAAGTGAAAACTAGAGCCCCTGTTAGACCAAACTCGTATGTATTCAGCTATGCATTCAAAGTAGACAAATTAAGAGTTTGTCCAGTACTGACTAAATTCTATCATTAACTTTGTTGCAGTCTTATAAAGTCACTTCTCTTATTTTTATACATGATTTTCCATGCACTTGAGTTCTCTTATCAATAAAAAACAAAGATATAAATATCTTTTTCTCAAAGTTAATGTAATTATCCACTTAGTAAATACAAACATTCTCAGAAAATATGAAATGCGTATTTTTAAAATTTCTTTCTTCTAGGACTATCCCAACCACTTCCAAGATGACTTAGTAACAGCTCATTTTAATAAACAGAAAAATAACATAGTCAAGGTTAAATTACATCTGTAAACATGCAAAACAGCAGCATCTCTTTTTAAGTGCATGCGAAATAGTTAAAGGTTACCAACCACAATAATTAACATCCTGCAGCCCAGTCGACTGAAGAGAAACTCCATCTCAATGTGTTCTACAAGAGGGAGGAGTCACATGCAACTACCCAGACCACCCGAAAATAAATAAGCATATGAACAAGACCAAACCTAGTCACTGATACTGACTGAGAAGAAAAATAAAAGCCACAAATTATTAAATAAAGGAAATGACTTTAACTGACAACAGTTGTGGTTATTCTTTTGGTGCCTTTCCTTTGCTGCAACATTTAGCTTGTAACTCCTTGTAACTCATTCTTTTCCTCTCTGGCAACAAAGCTCACTAAATTTTAGTGAACTTCGCAGAGGATCCTTTTCACAAAGCTGAGCACTTCCATAGCTATCCTATGATGTGACATTCCCATGAGGATTTTTCATTAGCTTTCTAGTTAAATACCACATGTTAAGAAAAATATATATCTTGGTCTCCCCCAACTATCAATGCCCTCCATCATGAGAGTCCTCGTAGTTGGCGATCATAATGTCTTCACAGTAACTTTATTTAATGAGTGCCATGAAAAGCACCTCTTTGGCGCTGCCCCTCTTCCTCCTCCCACCCTCCACCCTCAAGTACTTGGATGTATACATGAGTGATGAAATAATCTGTACAACAAACCCCCATGACATGAGTTTACCTATGTAACAAAACTTCACATGTCCCCCAAACCAAAATAAAAGTTAAAAGAGTACCCCTTCAGAAGGAAGAGCTGCTACAAAGCTGAACTCTATGCATAGCATAAGGGTGATGCATTTGATCTTCCAGACTGTAAAAGGTACATGTGAAAAGTAAGTGAAGAAAAATGGAATTCAAGAAGCAAATGAGAATTTTGAAGTCTTACTGTTGAATGGAGGATTGGAAGAGAAAGTAATATTCTTTACACTTTTAAAGCATAAAGAATATACTTTTAAACATACTTTTAAATTAAAATAATCCAGGGAGGACTAGAGTAAATGATGCAAAAATGATAAACATGCATATTCACAAAATGTTGTTTGTTTTTCTATACTTTCTGATTCTTTATAATGATTATTATTTTTTCAGAAAAGAAGTTGATTAATTGATTTCAAAATCAGAGAGCCTTCAAGGTCCTGCTTCTGGTTATGATGGAGATGATCAAAAGTAGCCAACACTTCCACCATAAAAAGAAAAAAAAATCAGTTAAATTACAAAATTATATTTTTAACCCATTGGGAAACTGGGGACACAAAGAAATCTAGAGGAAACTAAATTTTACAGAGGGATAAACCCTTCCTTTATGAACGATGACTAGAGGCAGCTTTAATCCCAGGAAACTGGTGAAGAAGCAGACCAGTCACTGGTTAAAGTACTTGGCAGGGGAAAGAGAAACCAGCTGAACTTTTAACAATTGTGGACTCTTATGGACTATTGAAAACACATCAGCCTCAGACAAAAAGTAAGTTCTCAATATTTATCAATTCTCAACCCTAAGACTTAACAAGTGCTCAGCAGGATGTGGGCAATTGAGTTTAGATAGGGAGCAACATGAGATTTCTAGTGGCACAGAAATCCTGGGGCAGCGCTGGAGAGCAGAGCAGAATGTCAGTTATATGGTGCACGGATAAGCAAGCCCAGCTAGAAGGAGAGACCTTTTACAGCTTGAAGCTTTTGAAACTGGTAGTAAATTAAAACTAACTAAACCTCTAAACCCAACTTCAACTTAACTCAATTCCTAATTTGATAAGAGAGATCAGCCCTTGTGGAGGAGAAATATTTTCCACTCCAATCTCTATAATTGGCTTATATACAATATCTGGCATATAATTCACACATGTGAGACATTCAGAGAAGGAGGAAAATGTGATGCATGAACAAAAGAAAACCAATTAATGAAACTGACCCACAGATGGCCCAGATGTTGGAATTAATTAAAACTATAAACAATCATTATATAAAGGACCCAAAATTAGAGGAAAAGATAGAAATAGCTAGAGAAAGTTGAAACAGCCCAGAAGAGAACTTTAAAAATGTTTAGAACAGAACTATGAAATATTTGAAATAATAAAATCATTAAATGGGCTTAACAGCAGAAATGGACACAACAGAAAAAGGATAGGTAAACTCTAACAGAGGTCAATAGAAATTATTTCAACTGAGGCATAAAGGCAAAAAGAATAAAAAAGTAAACTAGAGTATGAGAGACTTGAGGGAAAATAATAGTCTAACACACATACAGTTGGAATCCTAAAATGAGAAGAGAAAGATAATAGTGCAGAAAAAACTATTTGAAGAGATAATGGCTGAGAATTTTCCAAAATTGATGGAAGACATCAATCTACACAACCAAGAAGCTCAGAAAATCTCAAGCAGAAGAAATACACAGGAAATACCACCTATGCCTATTACAATCAAACTGATTGAAAATCAAAAGGAGAAATCATAAAGACTCATCAATGATATCTAACAAAAAAACTCATTAATGGCTGTCAAAAGAACATACTTAGGCAAGTATCCATATTTTCTTATCATGAAATTCTGAATTTAATATAAAATATTACAAATCATATGGTAAAATCTAACTTTTCGTTCTTAGCCCTGCTTCTTTGCTCGATAAAATTACTTTTATTTCTGTCACTGCACAAAAGGTCTCCAGAAACCTGGTTCATTATAAACTCTACATTTAGTTGTTTTTTGCCTAACTGATATTGTATATTTACCATAAAATTTATAATTCCTTAGCATCATATTCAAGACCCTAATGCAATGTCATAGCAAACTAAATTTTTAATTTTGTCTATTAAACATATACTTAAATATATATTAACATGCATAATACATATCATATTAAATACTGTCAAAATTATTTTCTCAAATGCCTGTACACACACACACACACACACACACACACACACACAGAGTTGATTATTTTCTCATGGCAGCCTCTTCATCAGGAAATTCTTCTTCTTCCCCCAAGGTGTTTTGCTCATTATGATCAAGGAATCTTGTCTTCAGTTTAGACAGGACCTTCCAGGTTATCATTTCTAATCCACAGGTTCTCAAGCCAATGTACAGGCAGAGACACTGATAGGACTCAGATACAGGTCTAGGGATGGTGTGTCAGACAAGGAGAATGAGAAATAAACTCAAGGATATCTTCCAAGTCTGACATTCTATAAGGAATAGGGATGGTCAATACAGCAAATCCATATACTTAATGTGCATTCGAAATAACAAAATCTTCTTTTTGAGGCAGACAATTCTGAATACTTGAGTGAGAACTGAAGCCACAGAATA